TTTTATTATTTTTTGTGCATTGTACCATCAAATCAGATCTGACTGGTACAGGAGGAGATTGTCCCTCCTTCTCCAGCAGAGCATCTGGTGGATTCAAACCAGAGATTGTAAATTTTTTTTATAAAAATGTATGTTTTTTCTTGTTGTGTAGTGTCAAATCAGTTCCAACTGGCATAGGAGGAGATTGCCCCTCCTTCTCCAGCACAGCATCTGGTGGATTTGAAGTGTGTGCCTTCAGGATTGCAGTGCAACTTCTTTGCCACTTGGCCACCAGAGCTCCCAAAACTGTAAATTTTAATGGGAAGAGATTGCCTATTTTTCCTGCTGTGAAACATTTGGTAGATTTGAATCATCAACCTTTATTTTTCAGTCCAATACTTAACACCACCAGTTCTTCTCCTAAGCACACAGAGTACCTCTTATCCTGAAAACTTCCCATCTGTATTGAGAGACCATAGCTGGGTTAGATTTTGAATCAGCAGCAGCCCTGGCAGTGAGCTCAATAAGCTCTTGTCTGGTAAGTCAGGACAGTAACATCACCAATTCCTTCCCTGGGGGTGATTCTCAACACTGTCTCATCCCCAAAAATTCCATTCAAGGCTGATTCTCAACACTGTCTCATCCCCAAAAATCCCATTCAGGTTTCTAGGTAGGAACCCTGACTGTAACCCATTAAACACACAACAATGTACAACCAGGATTGAGACAAATCAGTGGCCAAGTTTCATTTACCCTGATGCTCACTCACTTCTTTCTGGTGTTCTTTTTCATGGCAGTGTCTGTAGCTTTCATCTGCCTAGAGAAGAAAAACAAAACCCACAGTACTATTGTTATGTGTGTTGTCGACAAGGCAGGAAAAAGGAGCCCAAACTAGAGAATACAGCACAAGCGTGAGAAGCTCTGAGAGTCCAGGTACTTTTATTTTTAGCAAAGGCTATTGAAAAAGGCTTATTGCCAAGGAAATAGCTTCTCTTTCCTGACTACCACCAACCGATTTCAAGATGGTGTGACTACCTCATATATAATGCAACCTTACCCACAAAGAAACTGAAAGCTGGTTTGGTGAACACACATATAACGAAACAATGGGGCTGGACTGGGCTCACACCAGCAATCTAGTTATAACGAGTCCCAGATCCTGTAAGGATCACTTAGGTCTAATGTTTGACTGGGGTACTACCATTTGTACACTCAGAGCAAGCAAAACAGATCAACAAACAGCTCAGATGTGTTCTGCTCTAGGTCCTTAAACACAAGCCAGTGGTTCATATGGTTCATGCTCCTGAAAACTCTACATTCTAGCTCATGGTACTGAGCAATTTTTAGCAAGATATTCTAATTGGACACCAGTGACCAAGTTCTTACCCATTTTCTCGTCTCAGTTTGATGGCTTTTGTAATATCGGTCTCTGAACTGCTTGCATGAAAATTTTTGGACATGTCTACTTCTTTAGATTTAACAGGTAAGAAACTTTTAGAAGCTCGAGATTGTCTGTCTGTAAAGGAAAAAGAGAGTATGAAATCTCAGTTGTAATCCTGTAATCCAAGTTGCCATAAACTATTGTGGTCAATCTCAGTTTTGAAGACTATTTTGGCTTCTAGATCATTTGTAGATCTTTCATTACAATCAAGTCAGAAACAACCCCTAGCTCACCCACGGCAGGTTTTCTGAAGCTATCAATTGCACAGAAGGGGACTGCTCATCTTTCTCCAGAGGAGCTGCTGGCTGATTTGAACTGCTAGAAAGGTGTCACCTTTGAGCTGGGAGAGTAACTCTCTAATGACTACATCACCAAAGCTCTCAATATAAATAGAAACCAAAATTCAATGGGTTTGAGGGTAATTAAAAGTTTGATGAAATATCAGACTGAAGGAGAAAGATGTGCATGTGACAGTCAATAAATGCAAAGAATTAAATGAAAGGCAGAACAAATAGGTCTGACCTGGAGAGGGCGAAACCAAGCTGCTTCTTGGAGGCAAGGATTTTTAGGCTCTATTTTACATAGTTTGGGCAGGTGGCCAGTAGGGAACAGTCCTTGGAGAGGGGCATCATGCTTAGAAGGGTGGAAATTGGCAGGGCAATCAATAGATGGAACTTTCATAAAGGACCACTGGAACCTACAATCTTTTTAAGTTTCTGTTTGTTATGAGTTATCATTGTCCCCTCAAAATACATGTAAGTTATGAGACAAATGTGGAAATATGTAATGTTTCCCCATGAACTGATAAAATAGTCATAAAAGGATTAATTATAGAATATAACACCCTTTAATCTCACCACAACTTTAATCAGATGTTAGGGGAGTTTCTTAATGGTATGGTCTGGAAAACCTTTTCTCTTTCTAGAGAGAAGAGGGAGCTCTGGTGGTTCAGTGGTAAGGAACTGCACTGCCAATGAAAAGGTATGTGGTTTGAATCCACCAGCTAGCTGCTCCAAGGGAGCAGGTGTTGTTGATTGCCTTTGAGTTGAGCATGACTCATAGCAACCCTACGAACAAAAGGCCTGAAGCCCCTCTACAACTATCAACATTTATCAAAGTTCATAAAGTTTCCGGAGGAATGTTATTTAGGAAGTGGATGCCACTCCTGAGACTGGGCAATCTTCTCCCGTGTACTTTACACCTCTGAAAAACCTGCTGGAGGGTCAGCTATGATCCTATAACAGCACACAAGAACACCAACAACAGAGATAAAAGAAGAGGAAATCCAGCCTGGAGTGGAGGGCTAGTACCACCACCACGAGAAGAACCTCCAGGAGTGGAGTGCATCCTCTTGGACTCAAATCTCTCAAGGAAGCTCCTTGACAACGGGAAAGGATAGAATTCATGGAGCTCTCCAGGGAATTCATGGAGCTCTCTCCAGGGAATGCTAGGCCTACAGATGCTGAAACAAACAAGGATTTTCCTCCAGAATTGATACACAGCAAGCCTTCTAGAGTTGGCACTCTCTTCATTTGAACTTCTAACCTCCTAAACTGTGAAAATAAGTTTCTATTTTTTGAAGCCATATAGTTTTGTGGTATCTGTTAGCAGTACTTGAAAAATAAGACAGCTCTTAAGTTTTCTATATACCCTTCTAACACTCAAGTGGTTTCATTTTAATTGTTGAATTGATTTAGGAGTCCTTGGGTAGTGCAAAGCAGCCCTGGTGTGTTGAGCTGCTAACTCTAAGGTCAATAGTTTGAACCCACCAGCCCACCTGGAGAAATATGAGACAATCTCCTCCCATTGAGATTTATAGGTTCAGAAAGCTGCTAGAGGGTTGCACTGAGTCAGAACTGACTTGAAGGCAGTGGATTGGGTTTGGAAGGTGTACATGGTTAACTTGATTGGCTGATAATTGAAAAGTTAAAGGCTCTAACCTATCCGGAGGTGCCTCGATGAAAAAGTCTGTCAATATACTTCTAAAAAGTCAGTCACTGAAAATCTTAAGGAGCACAGTTCTATTCTGACACATGTAGGGATATAACAAGTTGGAATTGACTTAACAAGGCTGATGGGGTAACTGAAGGCTGTATTTACCAAGATTGTCTTCTTAATTATTCCAACAGATAATCTTTGGGTTCCCAGGCCCTAGTAGTGTGTCTGGTATATTTACATACCATCAATAACTGCTGAACAAATGCAACAACACTTCAGTCACATGGCTTATTTCATCTGATATCTCAAAGTATCTTTTCTGTTCTTTTTTCCTTCTTCCATTCCATTTTGATTGGTTCTACCTCCAGCTCCCGTAAACTGTTTATCCCCATTAAGTTTGAAAGAGTTTCCATCAAAGTCAACTCTAACTCATGGTAACCACACAAGTTTGTCAGATTAGGAGTATGTGCCAGACAGTTTTTCATAGTTAATATTTTCTGAAACAGATTGCCAGGTCTTTCTTCCAAGGCACCTCTGGGCAGACTTAAACTTCTAGCTGTTCAGTTTGCAGTCACTGTGTGCTATCACATAGATAGTCTGCACTTTACTCATCAAGATGGACCATGTAATATGAGAGGTTTTGCTAGGGCCTGTTATTTTTTAACCACCATCAATTAGTTGAGGTGGAGTTTACTGTACTGTGAAATTTTCACATTTGAATTTTTTAAATTGCCTCACAGAAGCTGATACAAGTTCTAAAATATCAGCAGAATGATTTGCTGACTTCATTACAATGCCATTATGTCATTTTTTGATTACAATAAAAGTGTTCAGTAAACTTTTCCAAAAAAAAAAAAAAAAGATCAGATGGAAAAGTAAGAAGGGTTTATCTTCACATTTTGGAAATAGCCTATGTTGGCTATTTATAGAGATAGGAATCACGCTCATTTTTTACTTTGAATTTTTTCTAACACTTTTTTTTTAAAAATGTGCATTATTACCTACTTAAAAAGCTAAATCCATATACAACTAACCCACACTCCTCCAATTTGGAAGGGGAAAAGCCAGATAATCTTAAAACATCAAACTATTAAGGTTATGAACATAAGACCAGGAATGTGGCTAGAAAGGAATGAAATGAAAATTTTTTTGGGGACTGCTAGTCATTACAGCGCTGAGAAGCCAAAACACAGGGGAGAAATGCAGAAGCACTAGAGATGAACAGAAGATTTAAAAGGGCAGCTCAAGAAAACAAAACAAAGTATTATAATGGAATGTCCAAAGAACTGAAGCTGCAGAAGAAAAAAGGGAAGTACTGACTCAGCATTTCTCAAGTTGAAAGAACTGAAAACCAAATTCAAGCCTTGAGTTACAATACAGAGAGATACTATGGGCAAAATCTTGGACGATCCAGAAAGCATTAAAAGAAGATAGAAGGAATATCCTGATTCACTATACAGAAAATAATTGGTTGGTCGAAATTAAAAATATTTCAAGAAGCGCTAGATGAACAAGGGCCAAAGGAAGAATTTCAAGCTGCACTGAAGGCACTGACAGAAAATATAGTCCCAGGAATCGATGGGATACAAGTTGACATGTTTCAGCTAACAAAAATAGCCCTGGACATGCTCACCAGTCTACGTCAGAAAATATGGAGGACTCTGACTGGAAGAAATCCATATTTGTTCCAATTCCCAAGTAAAGTGATCCAACAGAATGTAGAAATTAGCAAAAAGTATCATTAATATCACATGTAAACAAAATACCACTGAAGATCATCCAAAAATGGTTGGAACAATACATAGAGAGAGAACTTCCATAATTCAAACTGGGTTTAGAAGAGGCTGTGGCACTAGGGATATCATGACTGATGTCAGATGGATCTTGGCTGAAAGCAGAGTACCAGAGAAATGATTCTCTGTGTTTTATCTACTATGTAAAAGCATTTGACTGTGTGGATCTTAACAAATTATGGCTAACACTGAGAAGAATGGGAATCCCAGAACACTTAATTACATTCAGACAAGACTGAGACCTAGAAGTAATTGTCTACACAGCACAAGGGGAACATTTCATGGTTTATAATCAGGAAAGCTGTGCATCAGGGTTGTATATCCTTTCTTATCTCTTCAATTTGTACACTGACGAAAACATTTAAGGGGCTACACTCTGAAGAATGTGGCTGGCTATCAGGATTGGAGGAAGACTCATCAACAACCTATGCAAATGACACAACCTTTCTTGTTGAAAGTGAGGAGGACTTGAAGCACTTGCTGCAGAAGGTCAAAGATTACAGCCTTCAATATTGTTTAAATTTCTAGTCAAGAAAAAAAAAATCCTCACCACTGGATCAAGTGACAACATCATAATAGATGGAGAAAAGATTGAAGTTATCAATTATTTCATCTTACACACAATGCTACCCACTATTAGCACTCTTGTTAGCAACAGTCAGGAGATCAGGAGATGACTTGCACCGAGTCAGTCTTGTGTTGGGGACCTCTCCAAATTACTGAGGAATAACAATGTCAGTGTGAGGATTAAAGAGTGCCTGATTGTGCCCATGGGCTTTTCAATCACTTGCCATGCATCTGAAAGCTGGACAATTAGTAAGGATCACAGAAAAAGAATTAATGCCTTTGAGTGATGATGCCAGAGATGAGTTCTGAATATCCCATGGACTGCCAAACGAACAAACAGGTATGTCTTGGAGAAAGTGCAGCACATATGCTCCTGGGAGGCAAGAATGATGAAGCTTTGTTTCACGTACTTTGGGCATGTTGCTAGGAGAGGCTATTTCTTGAAGGACATCATCCTTGGAAATGTGGAGGATCAGCTAAAGACAGGAAGACTCTCAATGCGATGGACTGACATAGTGACTGCAGCAATGGAGTCCAGTATTTCAGAACTGATGAGGATGGCAAGGGATAGGACAGGGTTCAGATCTTTTGTTTATAGGGTCACTATGATTCATAGTTGATTCAACAATAACTAACAACAGTCATTCCTCACTAAGCAAAGGGGACTGCAATCTAGGAAAAGACAGCAGATCTAGTTAAGAGCACCAGCTCCTTCAGCAAAACCTCAGTCCCTTGGTGAGGGTAGGATTAACATCCAGGTGTTCTAAGGTAACAGAACAATCTATTAAGCCTTTGGAGAAAAGCCTATTTATCCCACAGATCAATTTTACTACTGCCTGTCAACTAATTGCAAGGAGTTATCTGGGAAAACAAAACTCTAACTGCTTCATAATCACCCACAACAGTTTCTAGTGTCTGAAGCTTACTTTGTGCTATTATCTCTAGATTAGACAGCTGACAATTGCAGATCTCATGAAATGACTTTCAACCACAAGCAAAGTAAAGCAAAACTGGAAGCAATTGGAAGTTGTTTTCAATCACACCTCTCAAATAACTCTGGTCAGGCTGATCCTTCTCTCATTTAACTTAACATTTATTGAGAAAAATGCTGTGGGGATAGATGCAAATGTGAAAAACAAGGCATAGTACAAACAATGTGTGTCTTGCCACCAAAGCACGCCACTTCCCAAAAGACTGATAGTTTAGTCCCTCAAGATAACCCTAGTCTGGATATAAAAGAGAACTTGTCAAAAAGAGATTCCTGGCTTAATGGGGATAACACTAGGAAGTACCAGCTTGAATCTAATTGGTGGAGTGCTGCACTGGTTAACTCAGCAGGGCAGTCTTAAGTATCACTTGACTTTCCTCTTAATTCCCACCACAAACCTAAAAGCTTGGTTTTTGGTTTTAAGGACAGACTGTTAGACCCAACAGAATGCTCTCCCCAAGCCCGTGACCCCATTCCCAGACACTGATCGGATCCCCACACATCCTCCCCTCGCCACCAGAGCCCGGTATGCAGCGCTCGGAGTGGAGTCCCAGGGTTGGACACCCACCTGTGGGCAGGCTGCCGCTCTGCGTAGACGGGGGCTGCAGAGTATACACTGTCTTAACCACGCTGGTCATCGTAACGAGGCGGCAAGGCTGGACCCTGCAGGATGTAAGGGTGATACTATCCAACGCTGGGCCACGGGGACGCAGCCTCCCACCCCAAGTTGGGTTCGTCACCAGTCGGCAGGCGGTGGGCCTGGGGAGTGGGGGATCCTGCCAGACTCAGCTTGGGAAGGAGAAAAATCTGTCTGAAGTGAGCTTTATACTAGGATCTAGCATGTGGTTCAAATCCACCAGTGCTCCGCGGGAGAAAGATGCGCAGTCTCCTCTCATACTATTTACAGTTTCTGAAAACCTGCCGGAGGGTCAGCTCAATGGTACATAACAACATAACAAAACTCAAAAGCCAAGAAATTGTTTTTGATTCAGGAAGAATGAGGGGAGTTAACTGGCCCGTTCCGCCCCCCACATCCAGCCCAGTTCCTTGTCTTAGGAGAGTCGAACCCTGAAACTTGCTGCTCCCGCCTGCAGTCCTCCTCGATCTCGTCCAAAAATCTCTCCGGAGTAACTGCCACAGCACTTCCTCCGTCTGCCGCCTCCGTTTCAAATGGAAACTTCCGGAAGTTGGGCGGAAGAGAGTGCGATTTGGTCAGTGTAGGCAGCCATGTTGTACGGAGGGCTCCGTCCTGGGCTATGGCTTCAGAAGCTGCCATGCTGTACGGAAGTTCGAGTGGAGGCGGGAGTCGAGGTTCCAGCCACGGATGTTGGAGCCCCGCAGGTCTCTATCTAGCGGGGTGCACTTTACTGGCCTGACTGGAGCTAATGAACCACCTACATCATATTCTGGGCTTGGGACGTAAACGTGGCCCCGTTTAGGGTGCTTGTTGTCACAATCCTCCTCATTATTTGGTCTGTGATTGTTAAGAGACGTTGCCTGATGCCTGATTGCTCTGGCCACAGATAATTTGGATCGACAGAAAGCTACTCTTTTCAGAAGGGTTGAGAACGGCAGGAGAAGCGTGAAGAAACACTTTTGTGGACTAAAATATCTGAGGCCCCTACCCGCAGTTCTAAGTTTTAACAGCATTTTAATCAGTAATTCAAAAATGCTTCCAAAAAACAGGGCAAAGTTCATGAGCGCTTAATGTGTTTACGCATTATTTTTCCCCCCACAAATACTTACTGGATGGCTGCTTTGCGCACATCGATATCCTAACTGGGAGGTCGTAAAATATCCTCAGAGGGAACAGCAGAGTTCTTGAGTAATCTTGTTTGGGTTGATTAGACATTGTAATTAATTATATTGCATTAATCAAAGTCAATTAATGTAATGAAACAAAACGTCTATGAATGATTGTATTATTTTATAAACCTTCAGTCGAATTAAAAAAAAAATAATCTTTGCCTTTGGCCTGCTTAAATTTACAATGTTATACAGGGCATTGTTGTTGATTGCTTCAAGTTGAGCACGACTCATAGCAACCTATGAACAAAAGGCCTGAAGCCCCTCTACAACTATAGACATTCATCAAAGTTCACAGAATTTATGGAGGCATGTTGTTTAGAAAGTGGATGCCACTCCTACTATATGTATATATTTACTAACTGTGGTAATACTATGAAGGAGAAGTACAGGGTATATAAGAAGAATAGTAGGAGAACCTAGTTAAATTGAGAAATCAAGAAAGACCTCTGCAAGATGATGTTTGATTCAGGAAGGATTCTCAAACCAAACTCATTGTTGTCATGGCTAATTCATAGCTAACATTCAAGTGGGTTTTCCAATCCTATAAATCACCCAGAAGAAGACTGCCCATCTTTCTCTGGCAGGAAGGATAAATGGGTATTAACAAAATTAATAAAGTTGGCAGGTGAACAAAATGGCAAAGTTACAGGCAAATGTGGACCTTTCTCCCTTATTATTGGCAGATGCCATCAAGTATGTTCTGACTCATAGTGCCCCTTGTATAACGGACCAAAACACTGCTCAGTACTGTGCCATCTTCACGACTGTTGCTTTGACTGAGGCCACTGTGGCAGCCTGTATGTCAATCCATCTTGTTGAGGGTCTTTTTTCCTAATCCTCAGCTTTGCCAAGCATGATGTCCTTCTCCAGGGACCGGTCTCTCCTAATAAAATATTCAGAATATATATAAGAAGTCTTGTTATCTAGGCTCCTAAGAAGCACGGGCTGTAGTTCTTCCAAGATACTGGGTTGCTTTTCTGGAAGTCTGTGGTATAGTCACTATTCTTTGCCAACACCATTACTCAAATATATAAATTCTTTTCCTTGTTCTATCTTCCACATGGATAGGTTGTTGGTCATATGAATAGATTGTTGATGTTGTTAGGTGCCACTGAGTCAAGTACAACTTATAATGACTCCATGAACAACAATACATCTGTACCCTGTCCTATTCTGTGCTATCCTCATCATCTCTGACATTCTTGAGTCTATTACTACAGCCACTGTATCAATCTATCTGTTTGAATATCTTCATCTCTTTTGTCAATCCTCTGGCTTTCCAGGCATTATGTCCCTGTTCAAGGAATAGCCTCTGATAGTAACATGCCCAAAGTATGTGAGATGAAGATTTCTCCTCATCTTTGCCTCCAGAGAACACTCTGAATGTACCTTCTCCAAAACATATCTGTTTATTCTTTTGGTGGTCCATGGAATATTCAATACCACAACCCTTCTCCAACACCACAGCTCAAAGGCATCAATTCTTCTTCTGTCATCCGTACTCATTGTCTAGTTCTTAGATACAAACAAGCAATTGAAAAGACCATGGTCTGAATCAGGCACACCTTAGACTTTAAAGTGACATCATTGCTCCTCAAGAATTTGGAGTGGTCCTTAACTGCACACTTTCCCAGTGCAATACATCTTTGATCTCCCGACTGCTGGTACCTAGGGTGTCAATTGTGGATCTAAGTAAAATGAAATCACTGACAATGTCAACCTTTTCTCCATCTATTATGATGTTGCCTATCAGGCCAGCGGTGAGAATTTTTGTTTTCTTCATGTTGAGATGTAAACAACTTTGAAGGCTGTAGTCTTTGATCTTGTGTGGCAAGTGCTTTAAATCTTCACTCTCAGCAAGCAAGGTTGTGTCATATGGTACTTCCTGAAATATTTCAGTGTCAGGGAGTTCTTTTTGGTAAAGTGACTCTGTATATTTCCTCTCTCTTATTTTGATGCTTCCTGGATCATTCAAGATTTTGCCTGTAGCATCTCTCAGCATTGTAATTTGAGGCTTGAATTTGTTTTTCAGTTCTTTCAGCTTGAGAAATGCTAAACATTTTCTTCCCTTTTGGTTCTCCGTTTCCAACTTTCTACATATTCTGTTAAAATGCTTTGTCTTCTCAAGTTGTCCTTTGAAATCTTCTTTCAGCTCTTTTATTTCAGCATCTCTTGCCTTTGTTTTGGTCTCTTGACAATTTAATGCAATTTTCAGTCTCTTTTGACTTCCAGTTTGGTTTTTCCTTTCTTCTCTGTGTTTGCAATGACCTTTTGCTCTCTACAAGGATAATATCCTTGATTTCATCCTACAACTCATCTGGTCTTTGACCACTGGTATACAATGCCTCAAATCTATTCTTTAAATGAGTTCTAAAATGCAATAAAATAAAGACTATACTTTGGATCTTGGGGCCTTGTTTTCATTTTCTTGTGATAATAGGGGAAGATGTGTCAGAGAGTGCCATTGGCTCAGGATAAACTTCAGAGCTATTATGCATAGGGACGCTATGAGTCGTAGACAAGTTGATGACACATAACAACAAAAACAATGAATAATTGATGGTCTGCTTCACAGTTAGCACCTGGCTTGATTTTGACTGCTGATATTAAGCTTTTCCAAGGATTCCTTCCACAGATGTAGTCAATCTGATTCCTGTGCAGACTATCAGGTGAGGTCCATGTATAAAGACACCATTTGTGTTTTCTAAAAGGTATTTGTGATGAATTGAATGTACAAAATCCTAACATTCTCTTTCTGGCCTAATATCTGTCACCAAGGCTATACTTTCTGTCATTCCTTCTTTATTATTTCCAACCTTTGCATTGCAGTCACTGATTATCACTAACAAATCTTAGTTAAAGAAATTCAAACCTCAAGTTGTTATACTGAAGGATTCTTCAGACAAGAAACATCAGGAGAGGATGGAAGAAACATAGAGAGTTACTGTACTAAAATAATCAATTGGTTGGTTGATTGGTTTTTAAAAACCCCATCTCAGGAGGCAGCACATGATCAACAACCAATATTACTGAAGGTGCACCAAAAGATATTAGTTAAAAACAAAATGTCAAAAAACAAACAAACAAACAAAAAACCGCCGAGTACTGACAGATAATCAACCAAGATATTTCAATAACATGTGCAATTCTAGAAGTGCCTGCTTATCTATGCCAAGAAATTTGACCCAACTGATTTGACTGTGTGGATCACAGAAAATTATAGGGACATGAAAGGAAAATACTACTGAAGATCATTAAAAAAATGGCTGGAACAGTATATACATAGGGAACCAGAAGAGACCATGGCATGAGGGACATCATTGCTGATGTCAGATAGATCCTGGCTGAAAGTAAAGAACACCAGAAGAATGTTGATTTGTGCTTTATTGACTATGCAAAGGCATTTGACTGTGTGGATCATAACAAGTTGTGGCTAACATTGAGAAGATTGGGAGTCCCAGAGCACCCAATTTGGCTTGTGTGAAACCAATACCTGGACCAGGAGGCTATTGTGCGAAAAGAGCAGGAAACACTGCATGGATTAAAATTAAGACGAGAGTACTTTAGGGTTGGATTCTCTCTCCATACCTATTTAATCTGTATGCTGAGCAAATTATTAGAGAATGTGACATCAGGATTGGAGGGAGACTCATCAATAACCTGTGGTATGAAGATGATACAACCTTGCTTGCTGAAAGTGACTAAGACTTGAAGCACTTGTTACAGAAGATCAAGAAATGCAGCCTTCAATTTGGATTGCATCTCAAAGTCAAGAAAACAACATCATGATGGATGGAGAAGAGATTGAAATTGTCATCAACTTCATCTTGCTAGGATCTACAATTAAGACTTTTAGTGCCAGTAATCAGGAAATAACATTGTACTGGGGAAATCTGTAGTCAGGGACCTCTCCAAATTAATAAAGAGTAATGATGTCAGTTTGAGGACTAAGGTGCATCTGATTCAAGTCATAGTCTTTCCTATCACTTGCTATGCATCTTAGTGCTGGACAGTGAACAAGGATGACAGAATTGATGCCTTTGAGCTGTGGTGTTGGGAGAAGAGCACTGAACATCCTATGGATGGCCAAAAGAGCAAACAAGTATGTCTTAGGGTGCATTTGGAGTGCTCTTTGGAGTTAAGAATGATAAGGCTTTGCCTCACATACTTTGGACATGTTTCTAGGAGGGGCTATTCCTTGGAGGAGGACATGATGTTAGAAAGGGTGGAGGGTCAGTGAAGGAGAGGAAAATCTTCGGCCAGGTGGATTGATGTGGTGGCTGCTGCAATGGGCTCTTGTGTGTCAGGAAATATGAGGTGGCACAGGATAAAACAGGGTTCAAATCTTTTGTTCATAGGGTCACTGTGAGTTGGACTCAACAGCACCTGGACTCCACAGCACCTAACAACAACAACATTTTCATTTTGCCATTGCCTGTGTAACTTTTTAGACATTACATTTGTAAC